AGCATGGGGAACAAGCAGGAAGAGCTAGAGTTCTGTATGTGGTTGCGGGGCCATGATCTCATTGCGATTACAGAGACATGGTGGGACAACACGCATGACTGGAACGCTGCCATCGATGGCTATGTGCTCTTCAGGAAAGACAGTGGAACAGTTACCATGGTGTTAGGATCCCATTTTGTTTGGGTGAGAAGAAGGCCCCCTTGCTTTCTAGCTGACCTCAGATGAGTCTGGGAGGCCAGGGGCGGCTAGACCAGCCTCTCATTTCAGGTTCGATCCCTTCGAGCGAGATTAACACAAACAAGGTCAGATGTCGTAAGTCCACCTTTTTATTAACTGTTCGGGGGAAAGAGAGAAAGCAGCGATAGGAAAGGAAGGAAGGAAAGATAGGAAATCAAGCGAGAAGTCCAGATAGAAGAGAGCAGACAGTCACCACCATGGATCTGCGGCGTCCCAGGGGTCCGCGCTTCTGGGGGCCTTTTTTATAGAGCACAGTCCAGCACATGCGCACACATTTTGCGTGCTTTACTTTTGGTGGGCTCTGTTCACACCCTTCTTGTTGCTGGGCAGGGGCAGGGTTCTGCTTGCACACTTGAAGTGACAGCCAACTGCAAGCTTTGGTGGGCAGGCGGCCCTGCCTGGGTGTCCGATGCTTCAGCAAGCCTGCAAACCACCTTGCCCTCGGCAATGCTGATCTTCACAGATTGCCACACAAAGGAGCAAGCTGCGAGACAGTTAGCTGGCTGTTCAGTCTCCAGTTAGCTGGCTGTTCAGTCTCCCACGAACGGGTAGATATATCTCTCATAATCACTATCCCTTAATCTTTCTCCAAGAATATAGACAAGGGTACCCTCATAAAAGTTGCCTTCTCTCTTGAGCATTTTACAAGGGAAGCCTCTACAAGCTGTCCTCTTCAGATTCCAGTGGACCCAACAGTAACTGAATTGCCAACACAGCAGTTTTGTTACTGCTACAGTCTGTTATCTGCAACAAGTGTGTCTCCAAGATTCACTTTTGAGTATTGGAGGTCATCATGAAAGAGCTTCTCTTCAGATTGTCAGATATACAGGTTGTTTCTTGGACCTCAGATGTTTAACTATATTTTAGGCTGTCTCCTTTGTGGCGACTAAGGCATGACTGTTCATTAGCTCTTCTGATGCAAGAACTAGGACACATCAAAAGAAGCTGGCAAGCAATACGCTTCAAAAGAGTACTTCATGTGAAATGTAGTTAAGCTCTGGAACTCCTTGCCAACAGGACATGAATGCCAAAGGTTGACATGGATTCAAAAAGTGACTGGCTATGTTCTTGGAAGGAAAAACATTAAAGTTCAGGAAGTACAAAGACATTGTCTGTCATTAAAAATCACTGAACTACAAGTTGTTGCGTGGGTGGAGTATACTAGAAGAGCATAAACTGAGTGGTACAGTTGACACACCGGAAGGACGGGATGTCATCCAGAGAGACCTGGATAGGCTAGAGAGGTGGGCCTGTGTGAACCTCATGAGGTTCAACAAGGCCAAGTGCAAGGTCCTGGATCTGGGTCAGGGTAACCCCCGGTATCAGTACAGGCTGGGGGAAGAAAGGATGGAGAGCAGCCCTGCCAAGAGGGACTTGGGGGTGCTGGTGGATGAAAAGCTGGATATGACCCGGCAATGTGTGCTGGCAGCCCAGAAGGCCAACCGTACTCTGGGCTGCATCAGGAGAAGCGTGGCCAGCAGGTCGAGGGAGGGGATTCTGCCCCTCTACACTGCTCTGGTGAGACCTCACCTAGAGTACTGCGTCCAGCTCTGGAGCCCTCAGCACAAGAAGGACATGGACCTGTTGGAGCGGGGCCAGAGGAGGGCCACAAAAATGATCTGGGGGCTGGAGCACCTCTCTTATGAGGACAGGCTGAGAGAGTTTGGGTTGTTCAGCCTGGAGAAAAGAAGGCTGCAGGGAGACCTAATTATGGCCTTTCAGTACCTAAAGGGGGCCCATAGGAAAGGTGGGGAAAATCTTTTTAGTAGGGCCAGTTGTGTCAGGACAAGGGGTAATGGTTTTAAACTAAACCAGGGTAGGTTTAGACTAGATCTAAGGAGGAAATTCTTTACAGTGAGGGTGGTAAAACACTGGAACAGGTTGCCCAGAGAGGTGGTGGAGGCCCCATCCCTGGAAACGTTCAAGGCCAGGTTGGACAGGGCTGTGAGCAACCTCATCTAGTTAGCGGTGTCCCTGCTCACTGCAGGGGGGTTGGACTAGATGACCTCTAGGGGTCCCTTCCAACCCAAAACATTCTATGATATAATTGTTTCCTTGTTCCTGTGTTCTCTAGCTCTATTTTTAACCACATTTGTGGGTGGTATAGTGGGCTAAATGGTCCTAGATGGGACCCAGTGTGGCTGTTCTTAACTTTCTAATGAAGGTTCCATGTGAGATATCTCTACAGCATCATAGGAGATAAACATGTATTGAAGTCCTGAATGTTCAAAATGTCCTTTCCTTTTTTAGGAGCATCTGGAGTGGCCATTAATGCTTCATAATCATAGTAGTGTCTTTCTGCCAGATGAGGAGGAGTTGTTGCTTATTGGCGGTGGTGGGAACTGCTTCTCCTTTGGGACACACCTGAACCCAGAGCCTGTCTCATTGAGCCTCAGCAACATCCTGACCAGCCACTGACTGGGACCAAACAGGACTCAACCATGCTGCTGCACTGTGCTAAGACGTGTGTTCAGTTGTAGGTCCAAGAGCACCAAAATGTTTCCACAAAGGTTTTGTATCCAGAATGCATTTGTAAAGGTGGAATAAGGAGGGACAGTTATGACAAGAGATTGCATACCTCATCTGTCTTTTTTTTCTTTGTACTGCTCTTTGCATTGCTGTAAATAAAGTATCTCAAAAGTAGCTCTGTGCTGATAGCAGTAGTCCTTAGAGGTGAAATGAGGAACAGTGCTGTGTTCAAAAGGGACATGACTTTGCACAATGCTGACTTGGAGGTACAGTGAGGTCACCGAGTCAAAAAGCCATTGGAAGTGTTCAGTCAAGAATAATTAAGTGAAAGGAAGTGTATCATAGGTCATACATGAATGTTTCAAAAAGTCATGTCTAGTCTAGATATGATGAACTGTTGTGGTTTAACCCGGCTGGCAACTCACCACCACGCAGCCACTCGCTCACTCCCCCCCTCCCTCAGTGGGATGGGGGAGAGAATCGGAAAGAAAATAAAAGGTTAGAGCCGAGGGCTGAGATAAAGACAGTTTAATGAGAGAGAATAATAATAATAGTAATAATGAGAATGATAACAGAATATACAGAATATACAAAACGAATGGTACACAATGCAATTGCTCACCACCCGCCGACTGATGCCCAGCCCATTCCGAGCCGCAAGCAGTCTCCCCGCGACCGACCGACCGACCTAACCCCCCCCGAGCATGACGTTATATGGTATGGAATAACTCTTCGGTCAGTTTGGGTTAGCTGTGCTAGCTGTGCTGTACTCCCAGCTTGTTATGCACCTGGGCGAGCAGGAGAAGCTCAAAAAGTCCTTGAGTAGTCTGAGCACTACTTAGCAACAGCTGAAAACATCAGTGTGTTATCAACATTCTTCTGGTACTAAATCCAAAACACAGCACTGTGCTAGCTACTATGAAGAAAATTAACTCTATCCCAGCCGAAACCGGGACATTATCCACCCCTTATTCTATACCATTTACGTCGTGCTTAGGTCCTACCCTTACAATACATTCCAATTAATCACCACCACTTTCCCATTTTTTGATATATACATATATATACACACAACACAGATCCTATCATGAACTCATGCTCATCTGAGTCTTGTTGCCACCAGCTCAGACCCTGCTAGTAATAGCCCTTGAGCTCAGACCCTGCTAGTCATAGCCCTTGCTTGGTTCCTGGGAGGGTAATGAGGGGCAGGGGGGATGCTATGTGAAATCACAACTCAGCCTCATTGCTAACATTTGAACTCTTCTATGCCTGGGAAGGTGCTGTGGTGAGGAGACTGCACTTGGAACACAGCGTTTGAGCACAACGTTCAAGCTAGGATGATGTTCTTGAGACAAGACGTACACTGCTATCTATGTGTATTTTATACAAGATTACCAAATTAGTTCTGGGAGATATTTGTTTTGGGGAAGGCCCTGTGGAAAACTACTACAGAGAGACTCCTTGGAGTATATAGTAGAAAATGAGAAAGGGAGATCTGCTATTGCAGTACCAAAATTGGTTGGGGCTGCTGATTGGGATAATGTCTGTAGGCATCCAAAAATCAGATTGCCTTCTGAATTCTTCAATGAGAAGAGGTGTCTATAAACCTGTGAAATTAAGGAGGTGGAATAACCTCAGTGGTTCTTCCTGGCTTCCACTGGCTGTGATAAGGAAAGGGGTACACAAAGCAAAGTGCCTTTGAGAGCACCTGATGGGCCTGGGGTGTATCCAAGGAGCTGGCAGACACTGGAGCAGGAGTAGGCCCTGCAGTCACTTGGCTCCATTTCCCATCAAGCTCCCTCCTCCTGCAGTTGTAAATAGCCAATGCCCAGGATCTGGAGGAGACTGGGGAGGTCCTGTGACTCAGCAGGGCCTCAGGTGGGGAGCGTGTAAATAGAAAAGATGAGAAATGCAATTCACCAAGACGTTCATGTGGAACCAGTAGAGGAATTGCAGCATGATGCACTTGAACATGGTCTTCCAGCTACAGAAGGCACATGAATCAGGTGACGCTAGGAACTGCATTATGAATCTGTGAAGGACTTCCCAGTTTACATCCCCAGCAGGCTAAGGAATTAACTCATGTTAGAAGCTGGATCACCTATATTCCTTGTTGCCCATTTCTTATGCTAGAGGTCCTGCTGCAGGACCAGCGATTTCTCACAAGCGCGGTGGTAATTTTCATAGAATCACAGAATGTTTTGGGTTGGAAGGGACCCAACTGTTGGGATTTCTTATGTGCATTAATGAATAAACTTTTCCTGCCTTCCCTGTACCCCTGGATGCATTTGCAGCTCCCCCCCCTCCCCCCCCCCCGGACAGACACAGGGGAGGGGGTGATGTGCTGAGGGGCTTTGGCAACAACCACTGTTTCTGATGGGCTCCAGCTGGGGCTGGGGCAGCCCCAGGTGTTGCCAGGGAGGCTGAGGATGGGGCCAGCCCTCCCATATGTAGGGGATGTCTCTGTAACCAGGGCTGCCTGGGCATGCCTGCTCGAGGGAGCTGACAAAGGGGAACAAGCCAAGGAGGGGATGCAAGGGGATCCAGGAGGTGGGTGCCTCTGGCAGGGAAAGGCCAGTCCCTGTGGGGGGGAAGGATCCCTCCAAGCCATTCCAGACAGAGAAGGCACTGGCATGCGGCGCTGCAAGCTCAGCAGCTACGTGCATTAGCCACTGCGTATCAAGGAAGCATCATGGAAGAGGAGCAAAGGCATCCGCTGTGTGCTGCCTTAAGGGTGAGGGTCGGGCAGGTGGCCCTGCAGAGGAGGAAGGGGCAGAGAGAGAGGTGTCTGGGCTACGAAGGTGTGGGGGCACCAGGAGCAGCATTCCAGCCCATCTCTAGCACCCTTCTCCAGATGTCTGTCTGCCTGCCTTCTTCCGTCTCTGCCCACCCAGCTACCTCAACATCCTCACAAAATTTGTTATTTTTCTGCCGACTCTGCCCGCTATCCTTTTCATTTTTGTCTAGGTGTCTCTCTAACTGGCTTCCTCTTCCTAGTTTTTAATTTTTCCACGCCGCTTTGTACCCCATTATTTTTACCATGTCATTTCTCTATTTCCCCCTTATCTGGCTCCCTGACCCTATT